AATCAAGCGAGAAATTGTCCGCCGCGAGTTTGCCCAAGCGCGAGGGGGTCCGGGGCCGCCCGGCGCCAGCCCCGCCTCGAGAATCCTGGCCGGGGCGCGCCCCAGGAGAGGCCCGTGGAGCCGCGGCCGGGGCGCGGAGCGACTGCAGAGGTCCCAGAGATCCAGCGCCTTGAAAAAGTCAAAGACGGGTGTTTTGCACAGTGTTCGGCCTCTAGGTCAGGAGCGAAAGAAGGACGTACGGTAGGTTTGCGTCGTGTCGACCAGCGGCGACCCCGACGCCGGCGTTCAACATTGAATGCCGGCGGAGGCCCAGAATCGGTCGATGTTGAACGATCGGACGTTACGGAAATGGCCGATCGTTCAAGGTTGAACGATCTTCGCGGTGTCAGGGACCAACGCCCAGGTCGACACGGCACGGACCTGCCGTACACGTACATGAATCCACGCTGGTTTCGAGAGATCGCTTTGCGCGAATGCTCGTATCACGCGGCCCGTCTCGCGGGTCGAGGGGTCGTGTTCATGTACATAGCTGGGCGCGTACGTCCTTTGTGGGCTCCCTACTAGGGACTCTCACCGGGCCCTGGGACCGTCAAGAAAACGACTCAGGCTGAAAATCCGGTCCCGGGGAATGGGTCGACCCTGCCGGGACCCCGTATTGAAAAAACACGGCATCGGATCTCTGGGTCGATGCCCCCCAAAACTTGATTTTCCTCGTCGAACCCATGGGACTTGTGCAAGGAGTTGTTGTGTAGATCTGCGAAGGCTCTACGCCTCCGTTTATAGAGAGCGACGCCAAGAACAGTTCTGGGGTTTAAATTATCCCAGTGCGACCCTACCTAGGCGCTGGAGCCCCTAGGAAAGCAGCATTAGAACTAAAAGTAAAGCTAAGCTGAAACTAAGCTAAAGCTAAGCTCAAGCTAAGCCAAAGTTAAGCTAAAGCTAAGCTAAATCTAAGCTAAATATAAGCTGGAGCTAAGCTGAAGCTAAGCTGAAGCTAAGTTGGAGCTAAGCTGAAGTTAAGCTAACGCTAAGCTAAAGCTATGCTAAAACTATGCTAAAGCTAAGCTAAAGCTGAGCTAACGCTGAGCTAAAGCTAAGCTAAAGCTAAGATGAAGCTAAGCTAAAGCTAAGCTAAAGCTAAAGCTAAGCTCAAGCTAAGCTCAAGCTAAGGCTCAGGTAAAGCTAAGCTAAAGCTAAGCTAAATTTAAGGTAAGGCTAAGTCAAAGCTAAGCTAAAGCTAAGCTAAAGCTATGATAAAGCTATGTTAAAGCTGAGCTAAAGCTAAGGTAAAGCTAATGTAAAGCTAAGCTAAAGCTAAGCTACAGCTAAAGCTAAAGTTAAAGCTCCCAGGGGACTGGGGGAACCGCGGGGCGGATGCCGGGGGAACCGCCCGGGGCGAGGAACACTGCCCGGCCCTTTAAGCAAACCGAGTAAGAACCCTTCTAGGCAGAGCCTAGGTAGGGAACCAACTCTGCAGCCGATCCCCTACTCGACTCGACCTCCCCGGTCCCCCGACGTAATGTTTTTTTTGTGCAACGTCGACCCCCAGAGTTCTCGACCTACTCCCCGGGACCAGGTTCTCATCCTGACCCGTTTTTTTACGGCCCCGATGCCCGGTAGGGGCCCCCAGAGGCCGCAAATAAAGAACAACCTCCCGTCGTGATGTGTTCTGTACCCAGAATTGGTTCTTCTCGTCGAGCACATGGGCAATACGTAAGGAGCATTGGTCGATCTACGAAAGTGCTACGTCTCCGCTTGTAGATCCGACGTCAAGATTCACTCTGGGGTCACTCTGTACTCTGGACTTCTTAATAAGCGTGGGGGGGTACCCCCTCCGACGGGGGCCAACCCCGCCTCGTCGTCCCGCCGCGACGGGGGTCGGAGCGCCTTCGGCGCGCGGTGGCTGCCCGCGACGGGGGTCGGTGTGGGGCCGTCGGCGGGGGTGACGCCCCCCCGACGATTATATCAAGAAGCCCGGAGTACTCGCTCTCCCCCCCCCCAAGAAGGCGGGGCGCACGGAGCCCGAGGCGGGGAGGCGGGAGGGCGCCGCGCGGCGCTCGTGAGCCCCGAAGCGGCCCGCGGCCCCTGGGCGCGTGAGCCGCCCTTTGCCGCAAGGGCGAGGCGGGGCGCGCGCCGTGGCCGCAGCAGGACGCATGCAGGCCGCGCGCGCGCGGCAAGCAAACGAGCGCTTCCGCCCTGGGGGAAGAGGAGGAGGAGGAGCAGGAGGAGGAGGAGGAGGAGGAGGAGGAGGAGGAGGAGCAGGAGGAGGAGGAGGAGGAGGAGGAGGAGGAGGGGGGGGGGGGGGGGGGGGGCGGGAGGGGAGGGGGAGGTGGGAGGGCGAGGAGGGAGAGGCACGGCGCAGGATATCCCCTTGAGGCCACCGCCCTAAAAACATGTGCCAGAAGCGCGCACGGGCGGAATTCCCTCCCGCGGGCATGAGGGAGCGGCGGAGAGATGCCGCGAGAGACTGCAGACGCACAAGGCGAAAAGCAAAGAAGCCTCGTCGTCTTCCTCCTCCTCCCCTCTCCTCCTTCACCCTCCTGCCTCTCCTCCGAATGCTCATCGTCTTCTCCCTGCTTCTTCTCCCTGACCCTACCCCCTCGCCCCTCCCTCCTCCCTCCTCGTCCTTCTCCGTCTTTTCCTCCTCCTTCTCTTCTCACTTCTCCTCCTCGTCATCATCCCCCTCCTCCTCATCCTCCTCTTCTTCCTCCTCCTCCTTCTCCTCCTACTCCCCCTCAATCTCTTCACCATCTTCCTCCTCATCTTGCTCCTCATCTATTCCCTCTGCCTCCCTGCCCTCTCTCTCTACCTCCTCATCCTTACACTCGTCCTCACATACATCCTCCTCCCCCTCGTTCTGTCTTCCCTTCTATTCCTCCTCCTCCTCCTCCTCCTCCTCCTCCTCCTCTTCTTCCTCCTCGTCATCCTGCTCTTTATCATCCGTTCCCATCCAGAGTCCGATCTTCAACCCCACACCCATCTTGCTCACCCGCATCCTCTACTGAAGCCACCAGGCTGCCCGGCGATGACGTGGCAGCACTTGTGAGATCGAGACCTCCGCGCAGGGCCCCGGTCTCTTGAGTCTGTGCGGTCGCAGGGCGGTGCCCGCTGCCCCTCTTCCTCCCGCCCCCCTCGGCCGCCTTGCCCTTAAGTCAGGCCTGCCCCTCTACAGGAGGAAAGGTCAAGAGTGGTGAAAGACTTGTCGGGGGACGATTCTCCTGCTATTTTCGATGTGTTTTTGAATATGTTTGGCTCCTTTTTATTTCTAGGCCTCCTGGATGGGGTCCGAGTAGATGGAGTCGGAGGATGGCGCCGCATCGCCGATACATCGGCGATGCATCAGCGATGCGGCTCGATGTGGAGCCCGATGTTCTCCACGCCGGCGTCGCCGGTGCATCACCGACGTCGCCCATGCATCGCCGATGTATCGGCGATGCGGCGCGATCCTCCGACCCCATCTACTCGGACGCCATCCGGGAGGCCTGGAAGTAAAAAGGAGCCAAACATATTCAGAAAAGCATCAAACATAGCAGGACGACCGTCCCCCGGCAAGTCTTTGACCACGCTTGACCTTTCCTCCTGTAGAGGGGCAGGCTCGACGTAAGGGCAGGGCGGCCGATGGGGGCGGGAGGAAGAGGGGCAGCGGGCACCGCCCTTGCGACCGCACAGACTCGAGAGATCGGGGCCCTGCGCGGAGGTCTCGATCTCACAAGTGCTGCCCCGTCATCGCCGGGCAGCCTGGTGGCTTCAGTAGAGGCCTCGCTTATCTCTCGCCCAGAACCCACCTGCAGCAGGCCATGCCCGACCTATCCCTGCCCCGCTCCTCTCCGCTCCGTTCGGGCCTCCGCTGCGTGGCCGCTTCTGGAGCGCTGCGCGGGCGAGTTGGCCTGTGGGGGGGAAGGCCCTCCTCCTCCCTCCTCCCTCCCTCCTCCTTCCTCCTTTTCCTCCTCCTCCTCCTCCTCCTCCTCCCTCCTCCTCCTCCTCCTCCCTCCTCCTCCCCTCCTTCCTCCTCCTCCTCCTCCTCCTCCTCCTCCTCCTCCTCCTCCTCCTCTCCTCCTCCTCCTCCTCTCTCCTCCTCCTCCCTCCTCCCTCCTCCTCCCCGCCTCTTCCTCCTCCTCCTCCTCCTCCTCCTCCTCCTCCTCCTTCTCCTCCCTCAGTGGGCCCTGGACACCCAGACCCCCTCGAGTCATACAAAAACCACGACTGGAGGTTTATCGCTATAGTTTCAGCCTTTGGGGGCCCTTACCAGGCCCCGCGACTGTCAAGAACGACTCGGGATGAAAAATCGGCCCCTGGGAATGGGTCGAGACCCCCGGGGTCGACGTTGTGAAAAAATCATGACGTCGGGGGTCTGGGAACGACAGGGCTGTTTTTGTTACCGGTTCCGTTTTGTCTTGCAAGGCCGGTTCCGACGGCGTTTGTTCTGCCAGTTCCGGCGCCATTTATGTTCCCGGTTCCGGCTCCAGTTCCAATCTCGAATCTGTTGTTTTGCCGTTTCCGGTCGTCGTCTTTTTGGAAATTGTGAAAAAGCGGCCTTGCCGCTTCCGTAGCCCACGAAGGGGAGGGCGGGCCGGGGGGGCGTGGCGGCGCCACAGGATCGTGAAGGGGTGTGGAGATTCGCACCGTGAAGGGTTAGAGGGGTTTAGACTTAGGTCAGGCCTGTTCCCCTACAGGGGGATTTTCGACGAAAAGTAAAAGATACCCCAACAGTATTCAAAAATAGTTAAAAAATAGCCTGGGGACTATTTTTTTTTAGTTTTTTCCCCTTTTGGGGGTATTTTCTGGGTATGTTTTATTTGTCGTCGAAAATCCCACTGTGGGGAGACACGCCCGACATAAGTTTAGACCGGCGGTGTGCAGACGAGCGCTGCATTTGCACAGGGTTCGACTGCACGTAAGAGTGACCCTTCGCTGGAGTGACCTTTGGTGCGGGCCCATTGGGCCCCCCGATCGCGGAGCGCGATGCGGTAGCAGCGTCTCGTGCGCCTGTGTCTGGTCGTCCCACGGCCCCCAAGAAGCCGCGCACCGAAGGCCTTTCTTAGCCACTCTTGCGTGCAGCCGAAGGCTCGTGAGGGTTGAGGGCTTGAGACGGCGATGTGTAACATTTAGTGGCAGCTGGGAGAGGCGGGGGAACAGCTCGTCGTCGTCGTCGTCGCCGTCGTCGTCGTCGTCGTCGTTTTGTCGTCGTCGTCGTCGTCGTCGTTGTCGTCGTCGTCGTCGTGGGGGGGGCGTGCCACTCTCGCCGCCCCCCCGCCCTGGGCCTGTCGCCGCTCCACCTCCCAATGTCGGGGCACTGCCTTGGTACCAGCACTGTATCGTATCTGGGCTAAGTGTCGCCAGCCTCTTGCGCGGGCTTGGGAAACGCATCGTCGGCGCCATTTTATATAGGGCACCAGCAGAACCGCTCCATCGAAGAAACTGTTTTCTTACAGGCCCTGGAGCAGGAATCCGCAGTTGCACGAGGCGAGACAGCCTATTCAACTTGCCTTTTACAGGACATGGCGGACGATTCTGAACACATAGACTGCCCTCTCCTTTGGGGGCGCGCACAGAGGACACGCTTCCCAATGAAGATGCTTTGCGTGGCACTCAATCTGTGCCAGGGGAGACGCATCGTAACGATGCAGGATTTAGCAGTGGACGTGGGGCACCCCCGCCGAGGCCTCGCTGCCGGGTGTGGCTTCGCGGCCTCCGAAGTGCAAGTAAATGTTTAGAGCCTCTTGAGAGCTGGTCCGCGCACAATGATCAGCTAGCTTTTTCATTTTCCATCGATGACCTTTTACAGGGGATTACCAGACCCAACCTAGGCGAGGTTGTAAGCCACCTTGTGAAAGGCGCTGCTGACTTGCACGTGGTCATCAGGACCGAACACAAATGTTCAATTGCAGCCGCGAAGTCGGCAACCCTTGCCAACCATGCAGGTTTGAAAGCACGGTTCGCCAAGACATTGGGCAAGCATGCGAGCACATTTGCTCCCTCCGCCCGCAACCTTGGCATCGACTTTGCTGTAGGAAAGATTGGAAGGTTTAAGAAAAACCGACCGATCCTGACAGGCCTGTTTGCCAAGCTGCGCGGCCGTACCCGCCGATTCCTGGCACTCACGAAGGCGGACCTCCGGAGAATATTACACTTCAGGATTAGACCAATTCGGCAGGTGCGGCGTCTCAGTTACAGGAGCCGGCGAGGCGGAGTTGCGTGTTGCCCATCATTCTTCCTGAAACTTGTGGGCGCCAAGATGGACTCCAGGTCACGCTCCGTATCTCTGGCTGCCCACAACGACCCCACTTGGCGACAAGGTCTCGCCCCGGCCAGTGCCAACGCCGCCGCCAGGCACTGGAATCGCCGAGGGCGTCGACATGCCGGAGGCCTTCGTTGGCGAGGTTGCTCGCCGACGGATCCTGCAAGGAGGGGCCCGGTCGTTCTCCAGGCTGCCGGATGGGCGGTGGCGAAAAACTGACGCCAACGGGCGAGCTATCCGCCGCACTCTGGGGGGGGCGTCGGCGCTGGCCAGCCGCAGGCTTCTCCGGCAGCGGAGCGCGTTGCCGTCCCTGCGGTCCTGCCATTGTGCCCGGATGCCCCTGCGCACCACTCTCAACGCGCGGCTAGGAGCACCAGGACTTACACCGGGCATTGGGGCTGCCCGCCAGGCGCCCCCGTCCCCGCCGCCCCCGACCCCACTCCCACCGCCCCCCTGCCCCGCCCAAAGCGGCATCTTCGGCAGCTGCTCCAGCAAACCCAGACGGGCATGCGTGGGATCTGCTTCGCACCCGATGGGCGTGCCAGCGCTGTTTGCGCTTTGTCACGAGCGACCGTAAGCCCGCGCCCAATGTGTCGCCTTGCCGTGGGTACAACGCAACCCTTTCTGCTCTGGTCGCCAACGCAAGGGGGCACAAATTGCACATGGCAAGCTACTCCCGTGGTGCTCTTTTTATACGCGGCAAGTGTGGCGCCTACTCTGAAACTGGCGGTTTGCGTTCTCTGGGTATGGAATGCCCGCCAGGACGCGGTTTCCCGTCCAATTGTGCAAAGCATTATTGGGACAGGTTTGCCAGAGGTCAACACCCCAACTCGAAAGTTGGCCCGGCTTGTTGCCTTGACGAGCGCCTCCCCGTCTCAGGCCTCGTTTCACCTTAGTGTTCACTGGGTCGTTTGCGGTCTGTGGAAAGCATGTGTCGTCCCATCCTGCGGTCGTTTGCGCAATCTGCGGATCGGTTCACTCCACCGGGCTGGGGGCCCATACCGACCGAGGTCCCCGCAGAGATGTTTGGTAACACGTACGCGTGTGGGCGTGCTGCTCTCACACCGGCCCCATGGGTGGTATTCCGCCCTCCCCGGAGGCCCGCTGCAGCCTCCCAGCGACCGCGTCTTTCTTTCTCTCTCTTTCTGTCGTTCTTTTTTGTTTTTCTCTCTCTCTCTCTCTGGAGGGGTGGATGAGAGGAAGTAGGAGGAGGGGGCTTTGGACACCACACTCACAAGTACATGTGAGGAACGCGTGCGGGC